CCGTCTGTCCCGCGCCGTCGGTCCGGGTGTGCCCTGCTGCCACCCTGTGGGCGCTCGGCGCTGCGCACCGTCCCCCCGCCCCCCAGGCGCGGCCCCCGGACTCTTTCCGGATCCGACGGAGACGCGCCTCCTCGGCGGGGGACCGGCGGCCGTTCCCTTGCCGGGCGGCACCGGGTCTGTCCCGCCTAGTTTCAGGTGGAAGGAATGAAAAGGTCCCGGGAGTGGTGGCCGTAAACGGACTGTACTCAAGCTTGCATTCTTTCATTCATTCCACGTTCTTTTGCGCAGTTGCTCGGTGCCAGATGTGAAGCGCAGTGTAGCGAACAAGACAGTCTCGAAACCTGCTGGCCTGGAACTTACAGTCTGGGGGGGAAACAGGAACATCTTCTAAAGGACAATATATTTCAAAACATTTTAAAGCAGATTCCTTTATTTCTTCTTTGGATGGACATTTGGGTTCTTTCTAGTTTTCGTAAAGGTCCTCTAACATTCCCGTATAAGTCTGTGTGGATCTGTGTTTTCATTTCTCTTGGGTAGATAGCTAGGAGTGGAGCTGCTGGGTCACATAGTAACTGTGCTTTAACCTTGTAAGAAACTGCCAAACTGTTTTCCAAAACAGTTGTTTCGTCTTACATTTTCAGTTGCTCCACACATGACCAGCATTTGGTACTGTCAATCTTTATAGCACTAGCTATTCTAATAAGTAAAATTGTACATCACTGTAGTTTTATCTGCATGTCTCTGATTATTATGATGTTGGCCATATTTCTTGTGCTTATTGGCCATTTGTGGATCTTTTGTAAAGTGTCCAAGTCTTCGCTAAGTTTTTAAAAACCATGTTATTTGTCTTATGGAATTGTAGGAGTTCTTTATATGCATTTGGATTCAAATCCTTTAACAGATATATGTATTGCAAATATTTTCTCCCAGAATGTGGCTTGTCCTTTTAAAATAATGGTGCCTTTTAAGGTTGTGGGTTCAATTCCCTAGTCAGGGCACATACAAGAATCAACCAATGAACGCATAAATAAGTGGGACAACAAATCCATGTTTCTCTCCCTTCCTCTCTCTCTCTAAAAAAAAAATCAATAAAATTTTTTTTAAAATAATGGTGCTTTTTGAGGAGCAGAAGGTTTTTATTTTGATTAATTTGCAGTATATAGGCTATATTACTTAGTAATAAAAATTAAGTATGAAAGGGTGCAGTAACCTTGGAAAACAGTTCCTCAAAATGTTAAACATAGAGTTATCATATGGCGCAGCAATTCCACTCCTAGGTATACACCCAAGAGAATTGAAAACATGTGCACACAAAAACTTGTACATGAGAGTACCTAGTAGTAGTACTCAAATAGTCAAAAAGTAGAAACAACCCAAATGTCCATCAACTAATCAATGGATACACAAAATGTAGTTTAATCTCTACAATAGAATATTTATTGCTCAGCCATAAAAAAGAATGTCCTGATACACTACAACATGGATGAACTTTGAAAACATGCTAAGTGAAAGAAGCCAGACACAAAGGACCACATTTGTATGATTCCACTTATATGAAATATCCAGAAGAAGTAAATCCATAGAGACAGAAAGTAGATTAGTGGTTGCCAGTAACTGGGGAGAAGGACAGAGGAGTGACTGTAATGGGTACAGACTTTCTTTCTTTTTTTTTTTTAATATGCCTTTATTGATTTCTGAGAGAGGATGGGAGAGGTAGAGAGATAGGAACATCAATGATGAGAGAGAGCCATTTGTGTTTCTCTCTCTCTTTCTCTCTCTCTCTCTCCCCCTTTCTCTGAAATCAATAAAAACATATTAAAAAAACAAACAAACCACCACTGAATTGTATACTTTAAAACAGTCGATTGTTTTATGCGATAAAGTGTTTTTTTTCAAAATGTACAGCTGGTGGGACCTGTTGTTTATTCATCTTCACCAGAAAGCTGGGGCATCCCCACCCTTGGTGTTTCTGGTGTAAATTACCTGAGCTCTGTGCTTTGAAACTAATTTAATAAGTTCTTTACTGAGTTGCTCCTGTAGGGCTGCCCTGGCCAAGGAACCTCGGATCTTCAGTCTCTCAGAGCCAACAGCCAAGGTTATAAGCTTATAGTTGGGAACTTCCTTGCAGAGTTTGTCATATGTTGTTTTGTCAAGCAAGCTTAGGTTATTGAACTTGTCCCAAATTTTGTCTTTGGGTCACTTCTTTTTGGCCTTGCCCCCGGCTTTGTTCACTGGGTCTTTGTCTTTCTTGGCCGACTTTCCGGCATCTTTCTTCTTGCCCTCTTTGGCAGCACAGGGAAGCTCAAAGAGCAGCTGCTAGCACTGCAGCCTTGCTAAGATGTTGGACAAAAGGTTAAAAGGGTGAATTTTATGTGTGAATTATCTCCTAATAAAGCTGTTAATACAAAAAACAAAAAACACAAACTGTTAATACATGCAGCATGGATGAATTTTAAAACCATTATGCAGAAAGAAGCCAGAAACGAAAGAGTAATTCTATATGATTCCATTTATATAAAGTTCTGAAACAGGCAAAACAATCTACAGTGATGAAAATAAAAAATCAGTAGTTGCCTGTGGCAGGAGATGGGGAAAAGATTGATCGTGAAAAGGCATGTAAGGGAACTGGGTGATGGAAATGTTCTATATCTTTTTATTTTTAATCCTCACCTGAGGATATTTTTTCCCTTGCTTTTTAGAGAGAGTGGAAGGGAGAGAGAGAAAAACATCTATATGAGAGAGACACATCGATTGGTTGATTCCTGCACGCGCCCTGACCAGGGCCGGGGATCAAGCCTGCAACAGAGGTATGTGCCCTTACCTGCAATCGAACCCAGGACCCTTCAGCCTGCAGGCCGATGCTCTAACCACTGAGCAAAACTGGCTAGGGCTGTCCTATATCTTGATTGGGGTGGTGATTATGTGGGTGTATATACTTGTCAAAACTCATAGAACTAGGATGTGTGCATTAAATTACATATAAATTTTTACTTAAATAAAGTTAATTTAAAAGCAAAAACCAGATTTCTGTCTAAGTCAAGCAATATAGTCAGCAGTGCTTCCCAACCTTTCTCACCCGCATCATTGCACCCTTAGGGAATAAGCTAGTGCAGCTTTGCTAGAGGGCATTTAGAGCCCTTGGCTAGGGTGCTCTGGACCTGAGGCTCCCAGCCCAGGCTCTGAGCACCTCCTCAGGCCCAGCTGAGGGCATCAATGCCTGCCAGGAACATGCTCGGGAAACTCAGTGTGGTGGCAAACAAAGTGGACTCTGGGGTCAGACTGATGGGAATTGGGGTAAGTTCCTGCCCTGCTGATAACTGCCTGTGTGACCTTGGGCGAGTTACCTAGTCTCTCAGTGCCTCCGATCCCTCATCTGTAGAATGCGGATAATAATAACACTTGTCTCAAAGGATCATTGACATGATAAAATGAGATGAGATAACATGTGCAAGTCCCTAGAATCTACCTGGCACAGCATAATTAATCAATTACAATTAGCTATCTTCATAAAATGGGACAAGAGCTACCAGGTCATTTAATGAGAACATAATATTTCCCTGACTAGTAAAGTTTCCTGTTCTAAAAAAAACAGACTATTCTTTAAAATTTCACATCTTTGGAATTCTAAATTCTCATTTGAAAATACAAATGAATCCCCAGCAGTGTACAGGCTGGCATCAAGTTGCCCAGCATTGCTGTAATGAATTCTCACTGCATCTGTATGTCCCAGCACCTCTGCATCTGTCTCTGCCATGCCACGCACTTCAGTGTCTTTCTGCGTCTCCACAAGGTTCAAGAGAGCCCCCAAATTAAGAGGGCACAAAAG